GTCCTGGGACTGATTCATATTTTTCTTGAAGGCTTTGGATGTAGGAGCTTTGACTTTGTTGTCTTCTTCTGGTTGTATGTTTTGATCTTCTTTGTCACCAAAGAAAGATTCTATGGTCTGAATTTTTTTTTTGTGAGGTTTGCTCATGATCCCAGCCAATCACTTGAGTTATAAACTCTTTGTTAAGGTAGGGGTCAGCCTCCAACGTGGAGAATGTACTGTCCCAAGCTTTGGGGGTTTTGTGCAGTTGTTTTCAGAGATACTCCTGGGGACCTGTAAGTTTTCAGTTCTTCCAAGATGGTATGATGAAGGGCAAGGTATTTATTCCTTTCCTGGCCTATGTTCTGGTCTATGAGTGACCACAAGCACTCTTTTCTGCATTGAAACTGTGAGGAGGATTCTCTCTGTACTACTGCTACAAGCTCCACCACACCAGCACTCCTCCTTGCCCTAGGACAGCCATCCAGAACTGTGACCTAGATCCAGGCACAGGCAAAGCAAGAGAATCCTGCCTCAGCACCAGCAAAGAGATCCCTGCAAACCCTCTCTGATCAGCCACTAGATTCCCCCTCAGTCTATGAGCCAGAAACTCTGGAAGCAGCCTTCTTCCCAGGGCCACGCCATGACTGGGGCTGGGACCAAGCTTCTCTCTCACTGTGGTCACAGACTTTTCCTACTGACCTTCTAAATTGTCTTTGGTGTTTGTGGGTTGAGAAGTCTGGAAACAGCCACAGCTGCCTGTCAGTCAGTCCTCTGAGGCCTGCTCCAGGTTCCCTGAGGCCTGTTTTGTCTGCATGTCCATGCTGAACTGCATTTCTCTCCCAGCCTGGCATGAAAGACCTTTCTAATCAACCATCCAGGGTGTCTTGGGTTGGAAATTTGTTTCACTTTGTCTTTTTGTGGGTCCTGCTGCTCTGGAATTTGTTTAGGGCCATTTTTACAGGTATTTGGAGGGGTTTGGAAAAGAGTTCAAGCAAGTCACTGCTTTTACTCAGCCATCTTGGCTCTGCCCTGTTATTATTTTTATGCATGCCTTATCCTCCCTCCCCACACCCAAACCATCAGATTATAAAAACCTTAAAAGCAGAGACTACATCTATTTCATCTTTGTAACCTACTACCTATAACTCCTCACACATAGTAGGTTCTAAATAAATATTGGTTATAATGTAAATGGAAAGAATAAAAAAAATGAAATTAGATACTGTGTAATATAATCACCAAGGCTGGTCCTAGTGAAGAAATGAGAATATACACCTCCTTCATTTCTTTTCAGAGTTGTAGGATGCTGGGTGTAAAATAACTCATATGCTTATTATAAGACCTGGATAATATTTTGGTTAGTTTTGTGAACTCATTTTTCAATTTTCATTCTTTGTTACAAGAGATGGTTCACTGGGGAGATGGGGACTGATATATTTGAAAATTAAGGTGATGCAATAATTGGAAAAATGAAAAGTAAAGCAACCCATGTTCTACCTAACATCTATCAGATTAGCAAAGTTGACAAAAAAGGAAAATAAATAATATTGAAGGAGCTATGGGGGAAAGTTGCATTCATACACTATTGATAAGAGTTGTGAACCACTCCAGCTATTCTGGAAAGCAACTAAAATGTTACTAAACTGTATACAGCCTTTGACCCAATAATATTACTACTAGGTCTTTGATCATCCCAAAGAGATCAAAGAGGAATTTATATATACAAAAATATTTATAGCAGCTCTTTTTATAGTGGCAAAGAAATGGAAACTTAAAAGAGTACCCATTATATGAGGAATGACTAACCAAATTATGGCATATGGTTGTAACGGAATATTAGTGTGTCAGGAGAAATAGTTTGAAATAGCATTCTTGAAACTCTAGCTATAGCAATAAGACAAAACTGAGCAAATAAGCATAGAGAAGACAAAGTTATCTTTATTTGCAGATACAATGATTTCCTTAAAGCATCCTAGAGATTCAACCAAAAAAATTAAAGCAATTACTATTTTTTTTATTATTTTTAATTTTTTTTCCATATTCTTTTGAGTTGAAAATTTTTTCTCCCTTTTTCTCCCCCCCCCAAGACGGTGCACAATCTGACATAGGCTTTACATTTACATACCCATTAAACATATTTTCACATTAGTGAAGTTGTAAGTAAAAATTAAAACCAATAGGAGGAACCATCAGAAAGATGAAACAAAATTCAACTTAAGGTAAAAATAAGTGAGAGCGATTCGACTTCCATAGTTCTTTCTTTGGATGTGGACAGCATTTTCCATCCTGAGGCCTCTGGAGATGTCTTAGATCCTCATAATGCTGAGAAGGGTTCAGTTTAACATTCTTAGTCAAGCAATTACTATTTTAAGTAGGATACAGTACAAACTGACAAAATCATTAGCCAAAAAAGATAAGAAATTTAATTCCCTTAAAAATAACTAAAAAATACATTAAAATATGGAAGGTGACCAAGAGGTCCTTAGGACTAATATAAACACAAATGCAAAACATTCTACAAAAATAAAGACTTAAATGACTGGAATAATAGTCATTGTTAATGGCTGGGTTGTGCCATAAAATAAAGATAATACTACCTATATTTATAGATTTAGTGCTGTTCCAAGGCGTTACTTTAAAGAACAAGACAAAACAGCAAAATATATCTGAAAAAAAAGAGTAAAAAAAACCTTAAGGGTCACAATGAACAATTATAGCAACAACGAAGAATGAAAAAGGCCTAGATTTACCAGATCTTAAACTATATTACATTAGATCATCAAAACTAATTGGCATTAAGTCAAAATGTCAATAAACAGAAGATGCTAAATACAAACAATGAAACCAATTAGCCTAGCCTTTTATTAAACTCCAGGTAGCAGGTAGTATGTGCAAAGTATAGAATGCTAGAAGGCAAGAGTCAGGAAAAGCTGGAATTCTCCTTCAGACATTTACCAGCTGTGTGACCTGGGCAAGTCACTTTACTTCTCCCAAATAATAGTCCCAGGGCTATTGTGAGGATAAAATGAGATTTTTGTAAAATGATCTATAAATTTTAGAGCCCTATTACTGAACCTCAGTACAAGTACCAGTGGGGTAAAGAATCTCCACTGTTTCATTTTTTGCCTTTACAACCTCAGCTCCTAGTATAGTGCCTAATATTGATATTTGATTTTAAACATGGGGACACTAAAAGGAAGAAGGAATTAGGCTTAGATTAGCATCTTACACCATATGGCTAGCCATCTTGATTGTATTGGTAGGAAAAGAAGCCCTTCATAACTTAGTCCTCTTCCACCTTTCCAGTCTTCTTGCACCTTACTCCAGGAAAAGTACTCTTCATACTCTTTGGTCCAGTGAGACTGGCCTCCTGCTATTCCAAACAAGCATTCATCTCTCCGCTACAGACATTCTCTGCTGTTCCCCATGCCTGAGAATTCTCTCCCTTCTCATTTCCATCTCCTGGCTTCCTTTTCCTCCCAACTAAAATCCCACCTTCTACAGGAAGCCTTCCCTAACATCTCTTAATTCCAGTGCTTTCTGTATTTTAATTGTTTCATATTTATCCTGTTTGTATCCTTGGTTTGCATTTGCATATCGTTTCCCCCATTTGATGGTAAGCTTCATGAAAGCAGGAGCCATCTTTTGCCTCTTTCTGTATCCAGCGTGCCTGACACACAGTAGATCCTTAATAAATTTTTATTGAATGAAATGAATGAGGAAAAAGAGGTAAACAAAAAAAAATTGAGGAAATAAACATTGGCAACAAAGAAGAAACAATTTTTTTTCAGATGATACAACTGTTTTAGGAAAGTCTTGAGATTAACCTGAAAAAATTGAAACAATAACTTCACCAAAGTAGCAATACATACAATTAAAACCTATAAATCATCAGGCTTTTTTACTTACCAACAAATCCAGCAGACCTAGAGACACTCAAAATTCCACTCAAAACAACTATAGCACAAACCTCTTCTCTGCACTTAGTACATCTCCCTTGCACTATAGCTACATGTGCATATTTTTCTCCACCTATCAGATGGTAAACGCTGAGAGGGGCAGAGAACTTCTTCCTATCTTTTCATCCCCAGCAGCTAACCCAATGCTTTGCATATAGTAAACACTTAAATGTTTGAATTGAAATATCTCCTGAGAGAAGTGCAACAGGGCTGACTTGGCCCAATACTAAGTCGCTGGGCCTTTGGACTGGGGGATTTTTTGCAAACTGAAGACTGTGGACTCCAGGGGGTTTAATTCGGTTTCCTTTATGGTCCATCTTCGGGGTCTATACGGTGCCAATGTTGGGGCTTCCGGGCTGGAATCAAATGAAGTCAACTCTCCCTCCCCTCTTCCCCCAAACCAGCAACACACAAAGGATGGATGCTCCCTGCCTCTCTGCACACATCCCCCTCCATCCTCCTCCCCTTCTCCTCTGCCCAGGAATGCACGTAAAGCCCATTCAGTTTCGAGTCCGTTACTTCTCCCTCCACCTCCATCCTCCTCCTCCTCCTCCCTCTTCCTCGCCTCCTGCCCCTGGCGCCAAATCTGAGTCTCTTTCTCTTCGGGGCCCGAGTCTCCTAGGGCCGGGAGGGCCGCTCCCCTTCGCCCCAGGGGCTGCTTGTCCTCAGACACCTCCCTCAAAGCACTAGCCTGATAGCCGAGGGCGCGCGCTAGAGGTCGCCACTTACCCCCCCCTCCCCCTTCCGGCTTATTCCTCCGAGCAGAGGCGCGGCACCAGTTTCCGCGTTTCCCTCGGGGCTCTCCTGCCGCCTCACGAGCGCAGAGGCTGGCGCCGATAACTGAGAGAGGAAGGGAGTTGGGGGGAGGGGGAAATGAGCAGTGCGGTAGCAGGACCGGGGAAGAGGACGAAAGGGGAGGAGTCTGGGGAGCCGGGGGAGACGACGCCTGGCTAGGCCCCGCCCCTCCAGGTGGAATCCCCCTTCCCCATTGGTCGGCGAGCGACGTCCGTCTCTCCCCGCCTCGACGACGAGGCTCCGCCCACCCATCTCTTTGGCTGCTCCCCGCCCCTTTACCGGATCTCGCTAGTGACCGCCCGGCCGCCTCCTTCAGCCCGAACTGAGCCGGAGCCCGGTAGTCGCACGGAAAAGGGACGGCAAAGAGGCGGCTGCGGCGGCCGGGAAGAAGCGTTGTCTGGGCAGGTTGAGGGGGATACGTTCTCCCGCAGCCAGCAGCACCACCTGTCGCTAGGCGAGGAGCCCGGTAAGGACCCGTGCGGGCGTCTGCTGGGTTTCCGGGCGGCGTGAGGGAAAGAGGGACTGCCCTCGGGTGGAGTGCGTGGGACCCTGGGAGCGGCAGCGGCCACGGCCTCGGCCTCCTCCTCCCGCCCTGGCCTCCAGCGCCTCCCCCGTTCCCCCGCCTGGCCGGGTGGTCCTGGGGGCCGGGGAGGATCTTACACCCGCTGCTATCTCCCGACAGTGATGGCGCAGGGACCCTGGTCCAGGGGTCCAGAGGATAGAGGGAGGGGCTCGGGGCCCCGGGACCTCCCTCTTTCCCTCCCACCTGTGACCTCCTGCGACCTCCGGCCGCCTTCCCCTGGGTGCCGGGGGCGCCTTCCAGCTCCGCCGGTCTTAGCGAGAAAAAGAGCAAGAGCATCCCGGCCCCCCCCCCCCAAACCGAGCGTGCCTTTGGAAAGCAGTCCCGAAGATGGGCATTTCTATCTGGATTAATTTATTTGGTGTGCTCCTGTGACTCCGAAAAAGAAAGAGCACCTTCTAGTATTGGAATTCATATCTGCCATTGTTTTAGATGGACGGGCCTGTTTTAGGAAACAAAAGTCAAAAGAAAGATAGTTTAGAGAAATTCAGATTCCGCTGCCTCTATTGGATGGGCAGCAGGTGGTTAGTTTTGGTTCGGTTGGGTTTAAAAAAACAAAACACAATAATTACCTTTGGTGTGTATGCTGTCACAAATATGAGCAAAATAATAAACTGCAATAGAGATGCTTTCTTAGGAAATGTTTTAGGCTTCATAAAATGATCACTCTGTAGCAGAGATGTAGCAGCAGTTAAATGTAGGTTTACATGTATTCATGTTTTAATAGTATCACTAGGATCTTATAACCCTTTTAAATCACAAATATTCACCTCTTTTTATCTTTCTCAAAGCACTCAAAAGTAGAAGATGGAGAGGAGATAAACATTACTATTCAGAAAATATTACCTACATCTTTTTACTACAGAAATCAGGATGGACTAAATCTACAAAGTTGTTTACTGATTATTTTGATATCACATAGTTAAATAATTGGCATAAATTAAGGGGGAAAGCAGGTAAATTAGTAATCATTTTATATTAGAAAGTTTAAAGGATCAAACTTGTTTTTAATTTGTTATTTTGTAAGCTGGCTTTTTAACCTGTAAGTGGCTTTTTTTTATGACAGTTATAAAGACTAGAAAGTTAGACATACAAAATGGAACTGCTGACATGGCTTAAACAATAAAATGACTAGAAAAAATTTTGGGCAGTGTATTTTTAGAGCAGAGTTGTACATTCCTTTTAGAATTAGGACAAACTTTTGCATGTTATATATTTCAAGAAAATCATCCTTTTAATACATATGCTTCAGTTTTCTCTGGGATCTATGTATCAGCATAGACCAATTCAAATTTCAGCCCAACATCCATCTCCTTTTTCCTGGGATTTTTTTTCAGTGGCTTTCCACATATTCGTCATGAAGAAAGTTTAACAGACTTAAAAGGCATATAATATAAAAATATAACATGCCTTAATAAATATTATACCTGTTAAAATATTTATATTATATCATTTATATTAGATAAGAAAGCATTTGCATAGACTTGATTTGATCTATAGCAACTCTGTCAAGTAGGTAAGGAACATAGCACATATTCTCCTTTGTGAAGAAACTGAGACTCAGAAAGATTAAGTGATTTGTCTTAGGTCATATAGCTAATAGAGAGTAGAGCTGGGGCTTGAACACAGGTCATATGACCTCAAGTATAGAGCTTTTGTAATTAAATGCCTGATTGTCAGACTAAGAATTATTCTAACCAAGAAAACTTTCGTCAATGTTTTGAGTGTTTCCTGTTTTAATTTCCTTAAATTTAGAGGAAACCTAATAGGTTTCCTTCTGTTCTGCCCTTCCACTCTAACTAGAACTGTTTATGTATTATTTATGTTGAATTTTAGCTTGCTGTTAAACACTATGAAATTAAATTCCAATAGGCTTATGTAATTTTAAAGCTAAGATTAGGGTTTCTTTGTATATATAAATTGGTGTAATTGTAGAAGGTCTAAATGGCTGTGCTATTGTTAAAATGCAATTGACGCCAAAATTGATGGTGTTATCCTTTGAAAGGAGTGGAGCTTTAAGTAAAAATAACTAGCAGGAAAAATATGCTTGATTGTTTTATATAAAAAGTAGCAAAACTTTATTTTTAAAAGACCATTTTAGTTTCTTGAATATATGTTTCACATTTTGATAAATGCTGCATATTTCCATTTAAGCTACAATAATGAAATTAGTATTTATAAATATATATAGTATGATTGTTTAGTATGAAGGTCTTTGCTGAATTCCATGTCATATTTGTTGTAAAGACCTTAATCACAGGGAAGTAAAAGTATTTTAGAGTACAGTAGAGTTTTTTTTATTACATTATGCCATAATCAAGGGAAGTAATAGTGTTTTGTCCATTTAGCTCAATGTAACAACCCTGTAGCTCCTCACTATTAAGCATATTTTTATGGTGGTTTGGATAAAGGTCATGTCTTAAGTACTCTTACCCCTAAAAATGTCTGTGATAGATTGCTGTGAGTTTCCAAGACTGAAATATAGATGGACCTTGATTTATACCATAGAAATAGCTTTTATTGAAAGATACCATCTATCTGTAAGATAGCTTTTACTGAAAAGCTGTATGAAAGTGAAATTTTTATGGAATTATGTTTAAAGTATATTATAGCAGTAGCCTCCAGACTCTTTATTTTTTTGGCTAGGCTGTGGGATTAAGTGGCTTGCCCAGGGTCACACAGTTAGTAAGTGTCAAGTTTCTGAGGCCAGATTTGAACTCATGTCCTCTTGACTCCAGGGCCAGTGGTCTATCCACTGAGCCACCTAGCTGCCCCTCTCCAGACTCTTTTGGTCACATATCCTTCTCAGTAAAACATTTGTAAACATGTATATCCCAAACATATATATTTGTCTGTTTGTAAATTACATAGATGTATGACTGCTACTAATTATATGTATAAGTATATGACAAAACATACTTATATATATGTAAACATACTGATGTAAAATTATATATTTATATATGTATAAAAATATACTGACAAAAATTGAAATAAGAGAGTAAGATAAAAATGGCATGATATTTGATCCTAGAGTCAATAGAGAACTAGAATTTAGCAAATACGGTTCTGATATAATCAGACCTGCAGTTTAGGGAAATAGTTTCTATCTTGGAGGATGGATAGATAGGGAGGGGGAACTGAGACAAAGAGCCCTGATGAGAGCATGAGCTAGGATGGTGGTTGTATGAGTAGATAGAAGTGGGCAGATGTGAAAAATATGGAAGTAGAAGCAAGAAGATTTGGCAGTTAAATGCATATATGAGGTGAGTAGAGTAAAGAATTGAGGATGATACTGAAGTTTCAAACCAGAGTAACTGGAAGGATAATGTACCCTAACAGTAATAGGGAAGTTTCAGAAGTTAGGTGGGTTTAGAAAAAAGACAATGGAATGAAATTTGAATTGCCTAACACAACCTGTCTATGCCTATTCTGGTGTAATGCACTATCCCACTGATGATGGAAAAGGGGTCAGGAATTCTTATCTGCTCTGTATGTAGGACCAGCTGCTGCAGCCAAGAGGTGATCCTGGGGGGTTAGGGTTTTGGGCACACTGGAAAAAAGGATTTTCCTGGCAGCATCTGCACAGTAGCTAGGCAGATGCCCAGGCTGGATTTTAGGTTATGACAGCCCTAGGACCCACAATTGCTACTGAAGTGGGGAAGAAGTTGAGAGTTTACATTGCTAGAAGAGAAGCCTTGGGGTAGTGTTGAGAGATAATAGGTGTGGTTATGTTGGAGACAAAACTCCAAAATTGTGTGTCACTGGGAGGGTGAGATTTGACTTTTCTTCTCACACTGAATTAGTTGATTGGATACCCTTTGTACTCATTCTATGGCTCCATTTTGTAGACTACCACACAAGATATTTACAGACAAATTACTATGTCTCTCTCTGTTTCTTTTTATTTGTCTGTCTGTCTGTCTGTCTCTCCCTCTTCCCCCCCACCCCACACACTTGCATACACAGAGAAATCTGGATATTCTATACTGGATTTGCTTAAAGGAATGTACCTATACTTCTTCCACCAATAATAATAGCTCACATTTCTTTAGTATTTTAAGGTTTTTTCCCACAACAACCCAGTGAGTAGGTAGTACTGTGTTTTTTACTCCATTTTACTAAAGAAACAGAATCAGAAGTTAAATGACTGACTTTTCCATTGTTACATAGCTACTGTGGATTTGAACTCCAGACTGTACCATACTACCTAAACAAACTGAACAGATGATTTTGAAATTTTATTGATCCACTAAAGAGAATTCATTGTTACATGATAATTTTATGACAACTCCAGAAAACTTAAATAGATTTTGAGACAGCTTGGCATAGTAGATAAAGTGGTAGGAGTCTGGAAGAACTGGCTTTAAATTCTGAAATTACAGATCCTGCAGGACCTTTGCTGAATAGACTTAAAGGGATTTTAAAATGTCTAAATTAAAGATATTCTTGTTTTCTCTATTGATGTCTGTGTTAATAAATAACATAAACACTCCTCCTAATGTTGGAACTTACTAATGATAAAAGAAATGTCAGGTTTAACACCTCCAAAATTGAACTCATCTTCTCCCCTGAACCCTTCTTCAAACTTCCTGTTTCTGTTGATAGTGGCACTGTCCTCTAATTCACTCAGGTTTAAAGCCCCCTAGTCATTATTATTTTGATTCTTCTCACTCCTTCCGAACAACTCATTGGTTGCCAGGTCCTTTTCATTAAACCTCCACATCCATCACCTCTCCATTCTGAGACCAACCCTAATTCTAACTCATTAGCTCTAAAACTTGTATGAGCCTATTACAGTTTGAATACAACCTACCTTCCCAGTTTTATTCTTTTTATTAATTCTTTGTTCCAAGCAAGCTAGTTGACCCCTTAAGACTTTTTTA